GTTTCGAGCGCGACCACTGGTATTAGCTGTCTCCTTCTCGCAATTACGATCTATCGCAGAAAGTGGAGTGTCACGGTTTCTCTCGTTTTTATTTTCCTCCTCTTTCCTCGCTACGTTTTCCCTATTTTTATCTCTTTGCTCTCCTCTTTCTTCCTTTTTTCCTTCTTTTTTGGGTTTTACACAACTGTAATTTTGAGGTAGTAGTCGGGCTTCTGATTTAATTTCACGCTGTCACTTCGCGGGAGGATAAAATACATTATGTGGAACGAAACGACTCCAAGTTGTGAAATTACGGGATTTTTATCGACGATATCCCAAGTTGGTTTTCTTCGGTGTTTGATTGATTATTTAAGAGACTTATAATTGGTTCTATGGGACGTTTCGTGCTTCATTTTGCTCGACTGTCTTAAATAAAATTACTTGGAATATTTTATATATTTATTAGTGAAATAAATAATGTCATATTTAACGATTAATGTGTGAAAACATTTTTTGAAGTAGCGTTAATAATAACATATAGTCTCCTTTTTATCGCATAATACGTTAGCTTTTATTTATTACATTATAAATCATTGTAATGAAAGAAATGATTATTAATTGTTTATAATTTAATTTTTGTTATAGAATATTAGAATGTTTTCGTGAAATACCGATAAGAAAAATGTTCGACTCAACAGACTCCGTGGCGCAACGGTAGCGCGTCTGGCTCCAGTCCAGAAGGTTGCGTGTTCAAATCACGTCGGGGTCAATTTGTATTTAAATTTTTTTTTATTTTTTCTTAAAAGATTAATTTTTTCAAAAAACAGAAAATCAATATTTATTGACTTAAAAAAAGAGCATTTCAACCGTGATGAATATTTTTTGCTAAGGTGCGTCATAATTGAAAAAATTAAAAAGCGATTTAGCGAAGATCTTTCATGTAAAAAAATAACTTGTATTTTTCCCAGTTTGGCTGACGCTTACAACGTTTAAGCGTCCGACTCCTACTTTCCTGATTGCTGGAAAAAAGCAAGAACAATAGCCATACTTAAGAAAAAGTAAAGATAAACACATTCGAAATAATTGTAAACCGATATACCTGCTTTCCAACGTTGGAAGGATTACGAAAAACTTATAAACGACCACATAGAAGCGGTATGTTGAGACAAAATCTTTTTATTCTAGTGTGACAGTCGTTTTTTTTTAGGCCTTTTTTGCTAATTTATTATAGAAGTTCAGTAACAGTTACTAACATGAGCTTCATTCCTGCGTATTTACTTGCCCTTGAAGAATAATTACAAATTTTGTTGTTGAAAAATAATTAAATGTAGTTGCTGTGGAACACGGAAAACACTGGATGAAAAAAAAAGTACGTTGATGGTTGCCATGATTTGAGCCGTTCTGCTTATCTGAATTGAAAAGATCCAATTGATTCTTATTTAGTATGCGTCTGGCTATGGTCGGTAGTAGAATAAAATAAAAATATTGCAAACTAAAAAAATGGCGGCATTTTGCATATGAAGTTTCGATTTTTTCGACTTTTTTTCGTCTTTCAGAGGCTGCAAAAACTAGAAAAAAATGTATTTTGGCATAACTGTACTACCGACCATAGCCATACATGTGCTAAAGACATGTGCAAAATTTGAGTTCGATTGGTACAGTAGTTTTTGCCAAATCGTGGCAACCATTTCAGGAAACATTGTTTCGAGAAAAACGCGTTTAAAGTGTTAATTGCAATTTACATAGGGATAATTTCATTTATCATTAATCTGCTAGTCCAAGATCATAGATGGGACCTTCCTCTTCTTGAAACAAATGTTGTTTAGCTGTTCTTTCTTCTTTCCTATCAGTTTTGGCTTTTTTAGTGAAGTCACTTATGCGTTGTGCCGAGCGATTGATACGAGTTTTGTTACAACAGTTCACATGCATTTCAGTTTCTTCACCAATTGTTATCCCCATTACTGATAATACTTTAAGAATTATTAAATATAATTACTATCAAAAAAGGAGAGGATGGCTCATAATTAACGTCGACATTTGGTTTCTATTTTATTCCTTTACTTGTGTTAATAAGCAATTATTATTATTATTATTTTAAATACACTTTCCCGAACCTCAATCACAAATCCAAGTAAATTCCACATATACAGGGAGTTGCTGAGGTGACTCTGAACAACTTCTTCCTTTACCAAAATGTTGTTTGAAGCTTCGTTTTTAAATTATTAACGAAAAACACTGGCCAATCAGAGCGCGCGTAGAGCCCGCGCTCAACCACGGGAGCGATGACTCTCATCCGCGCGCGATCGTGAACAAGCGTACGCGTGACTTCTCGGCTATCGATCGCTATCGATTTGCCTTTGCACCGCTATTTTTATAAGGCTTAGAGAAATGGTGTTTTGTCGTCATTTCGACGTTTGTATAAATTTTTGAAAAAACTGCAAGTAGTCGGAATAGCGAAGGTCGTTTTTACAACTTTTTTATCTGAGCTCGTAATGAAAATCTAAAAAATACGTTTTGTAGATCTATGTCAATTATACACACGCTGAAAATTTCATCGAACGATGTGTCTATATGCAATATGTAACAAGCATTCAAAAGATCTTATCCAGCAATGGAGTGTAGATAATCCATATTTATAATATTCTACATTGGGTCTAAGTCTATCAATGTGTTCCTCGTTCATCATTCTAGGAGTAGCACTGCAGATATAGCATGTTTGTGTGGAATTAGTTCCACTTACAACATTACATACACTGCCCTCAATCATTGTAAATAGCATACGGTATGAAATATTCCAATCATTACCGTAGCGATCCGCAAAATCTGTGCTCGATATTAAATTATCAATTATATGTTCCATTCGTTTTCGTTCAGATTCAACCAATGCTGATGTTTCTTTCTTCAATGTAATTTTAAATGGACGACAGAATAATGTTGACGATGGTGTTTGATTTTCCGGTAAAACGTTTCCAATTGCATCGATTAAACGCAAAAAAAAAAACAAATGCGATTAAAAATAAGAATTCGTCTGTATCTTCTGATTGAGAAAATCTCTGCTTATACCTACTATGACCTGAACTACCATCAAACCCCCACTTACATATTAAGGTAACTGCACGAGAGGTGCTGTTTTCAATATTATTTTCAGTAATTTTAATTATAGAAATTACAGGTTTTTTAAGAATTTCCTGAAAATCAACTTCCCCATGAATTTCAGAGGCAGAAATGGATAGCAAAAGCTGTCTCTCTGTATTTTTCATGACAGTAACTCCATAGAATGCTCGAGTTACTATTATTCATAGTATTTTACAGGATATTGTATTTACAAAAACGAAGACGTAAAACGAAGCTTCTTATGAAAAAATTTTATTCTACATTTCCGATTTAGTTTTTTACGTAGAATCACCCTCTGCTCGCTTGTACCACCAGTTACAGGACACTCTGTATAATGCTTGTGCACGCAATGGTAATATCATTGAAGATACAAATGATTCCTGCGGAGAAGTTAGTTTCGCAGCAAATGTTAATTCAGTCGGTGATCGTGTATTTACAAGATCTGACACCCTTCGCTTCTTTGTGGAAACTGATACCTCTTCAAAGAGAACTTATGATCTTCCATTTTGAGTACCACTAGGCCCAGATCTATCAGACTTGTTTGATAAAATACTGACGATTTCCTCTGGTAATTTAATGTTTGCCATCAACCAAGTTCCGTGTTTCTTCGCAAATTTATCGTGTCCCTTAGAACATCGATCCCACTTCGTTTGTATTTCCAAACAAAGTATGTAAATGCGCGAATTTACGAACAGTCTCTTGCATTTCATCTGATACATCATTCAAATTAAACATGTTCAATGTTTTCTGGTAAAGAGCATCATGTTTCCCCTCTTTTGGCGTGTTTCGCCAAACTTCGTAGAAATCGCTACTGCTTACCGATTCTAAAAACTAAAATATCCCAAGAATTCCCTTTTTAATTCCGTTTGGAAGTTGGAAAACGTGGAAACGAAGAAAGGAATGGAACTGGAGTAAATAAAACTTACCCATGTTTTTAGATGTAACATATTTTAAATAATAACACTGAAGTAGAACACTCTTAACATATTATGACAGAAAGAAAAACAATAAAAATAAATACAAAACAAAAATTCACTTTTATATAATATCGCTATACGCGATCTCTGCTGGCTTGCGTAGTTATTATTCGACTTCGAGTCTGATTTCTTACCTCAGTTTGTTATTTG